CATCTGTGTCGTAGTATTCGTCATCATTTTCGCATCCACCATTCCAGCATACGCATCATATCATATTCACATCATCTGCATTAAGCAGTCCCCGCTTTGTCCATAGCATCGCATCGTCACATATAAGGGCAAAATTTTCGGTTATCTATATTTAAATCTCTCCACCACGATTCCTCGAGTCTCTGTCACTCAAATCGTCCGGTGTAGCTATTTAAATAGGGGCAACTGTAATACCCCAAATTTTACCCTTATATTTAATCAGTCATTTCGCATAACATCTCATATGTACATTGCTAACCGCTAACCAGTTATGAAGGTGTTTGTTTTGCAGATTTGGTCCCAGGGGTATTTTGGTCATTTTACACAAATTCTACCAATTCCTTGAAGACGGGCTGTTATTACAATCCTGAGGCGTTTGATACGTTATTGTTTTGAGGCATTCATCTATCACCAGGTCTGATCATATCAAGATCTTGGCATTTGGTCAGTGGAGTTTAATTACGAGTAGTGTTACTGTTGATGCCGAAACTGTTATGATTACGGTACACATCCGTGTTTGGTTATGAAACGTTTGGTTAGCATTTAAATTGAGTTTTAATCAGATGATGAGTTTGAGATTACGAATGAGACAAGTGCAAATAAGAATATCCTTTGGGAATGTTTATGTTTTATGACTAGAGTAATGAATTTAAATATTTGTGGATTATTTCACAAGTGTTTGCAATTTATAACTAGAAGTAAACATAAACAATTGCAAGCTTGAATGATCAGGGATAAATGGAAGTTTTTGGGAATTTTTATTGCATAAGAATGTTATTGTACAAAAGGGTTTGAATCATTTTACATTTGAGTGGCCGTAAAATTACAACTACAGAGATTACATTGACTCTAAAAAAATCCTAAGTCCTAGAACTTCATGTTGTCTTTGAACTTCTCCACGAATCCTCGACTGACCTGCACATCAAAAAGAAAACAAACAGTGTAGAAAAAATGTTAGAAGTGTTTTTGACACTCTCAGAACAATGTCATCATCGAGTGCCGGGAGTGGCACAACCGAAGCTGCGTCCTACCCCCGTTACCGATCCGCGCCGTGGGCGTCAGATCAGGTAACACCTGTTCTTATCGGTACGGGACATCCGAGAGATAGAAGAAATAAAAAAAAGCGGGACTGATTCGTTTTGCCGCGATTGGATTTCCAAACTGATGCGAGAATAAGGCAACATAGGCAAGTTCTGACTCAGACCCGGATGCCGGCAGGTCTAAGTCACTTTGGTTTCAAAACGTCCAACACCTGAAAAGCCATAAGCATCATCAGAACTCAAAGCATAAACAAAACTAGGAAGGGGCTCGCGCCAATACAGGTATGAATAGCCACCAAAGAAACAAATCTATTACCAAACAGAATGAATATCAAGTTCAAAATAGAACAAGAGAAACCAAACAGCATCAAAGCCTTCGGCTCAAAAGCATACCAAAACAAGACAAGAGAATTGAAATACAAGCCAAAGCTGCATCACATTGCAAACAGAATACCATATGCAAACTAAACAATGCATCAGAAGGCAGAATTATGCGCAAGAAGCCACAGGAAAATATCTCATAGAAATGCCCAGCAAGATCCAAAGAAAGAGGTAACAGCATGTTCAAATAGAGCAAGAAGAATGAAGTGTCCACACAAAATGTATCAAGCTGCAAGCTTCACCCGATACGGATGGCAAGTCACGAAAAACACTGAATTGCAATAGACAACAGCACAAAATCACAGCACCGAGTCATAGCGCAAATCATACCAGAAGGAGCAAGGATAAGCTCACATAATCGCATCAGTTCAGAAAATAAGAACCCAACTCCAGTGGATTACAAGACAAGTCGATGGGAACTCGCTCCGAACAAAAACAACTGGTCAGCATCTGAAAAAATCAATGATCAAACTGCATCAGAACAACACAAATCATATCACGAAGTCAAGTGCAATGTGGTTCGAATCAGAATCAACAACACCAAGCTGATGTGTTTAATCACGCCCTCAGAAAACTCATCACTGGGCGGAGACTCGAGCTGCCGGGAGGGAAACAATTAGAATGTCTCCAGCTCCCAACCAAGCGTCGAAAATAAGGACCGATCTCGAAGACAAGCCAACAATCAGTGAAAGAGAAACAAGTCACAAAATCATATCAGTTCATAAGCCCAGAACACAACAACTGTCAAAAGTAACCGCGACGTCAAAACCAGGAGTATCACCAGCAGGCTCAGAATGTCATCATTGCCATATCCCTTTCCCGACAATTTTGGCTCGACCAAAGCTTCAATATCAAGTCCTCTCTGAAAGAAGAAGAGGAAAAGAATCTGAGCTGCATCAAAGAGCGAACCAATCAAAAAACGAATCAGTTCGAGATCAAAACATCAAACAGAGATACGAATCCATTAAGGAATCCTGGGAATTAAAATCAAACATCAATCAATCCAATCTGAAGGCAAACCATATCAGAAAAATAGAGAGATTTTGATTTGATAATTAATCCCAAAGTAGATCAAAGCAAATCAGTTCAGACTAATAAAAGTGAATCGAATCAGGAAATCATATCAGCTCAATCAGGTTCTAAAAGAGGAAACAGAATATCAGATTCATATGATTCAATCTCACCAAAACCCCAATCAGGATTCCAAGAGAAGAAACGAGATCCCAATCGTATCAGAAAGCCCCTATTGGAACTCAATCTGGAAAAACCAAAGGAAATCAAAATCAAATCGCATCAACACAAAATCAAATCAGATCATCAAATGCATATCTCAGAAAAAACGCAAGTTCAAGGCCCAAAAAGAGAGATAAAGAGTTAGTTATAAATAGGAGGATACAACCTGATGGAAAAAGAGATCGGAGAAACCCTAACGAAGAACACCCAGATCGCGTACAAACCCTAGCGAAGAAGTCACACGCAAAAACCCTAAACGGCGCGAGCTCAGACGAAGCGATCGTCATCATTGCTCCGGGAGATCACCATCACTGAACGCGAATCAACAATACCCAGAGAGATCACCTTCACCGTTCGCGAAGAACGACGGGCAATCGACTCTACGGCCTCAGCTTCAACATCATCGGCCAAATCAAATGTAAATGCACTATCTCACATATCCTCGTGGTTCATATTTTTTCAGGAAAAGGGAGGATCACGGCGCGAGGAAGAAGAAAGATGAGAATGAGAGAAACGAGAAGAAGAACGAATGGAAACGGCGCCGCGAGATTGAGTTGGGGTCTGGAAACCCTAATTTTCCTTATGACTGCCACTTGGGTTGGGTCCGGATGTGGTGACCGGCCCAACCTTTTCCCCTTTTTATTTTTTCTTTGTTTTGTTTGTTTAATTAATTTGTTTTATGTTTTTAAAAAAACTTTTCTTAACATTTTAATTTTATAAATTTTAAAACATAACATTTTCACTTTAATCCTTTTAAAATAAAACTTTTTTAATAAAAAGACCTTTTTTAAAAAAAAAAAAAAATTAAAACTTTTTTGTTTAAAATATAAAAATGAAAAACTCTTTTAATAAAATAATGAAAAACTCTTTTTAAAAATATAAAAATAAAACCTTTTTTTTTTTAAATTCTTTTGTAAGCTAAATCATTAAATATTAAATAAAACAATAATAGATCTCGAGTTTGTATCTCATTTTCTTCATTGCCTCGTAATTCATCTGATAGCTGGTTGACTTTGCTTACTAACGGGTGTTCATTTTTTGCAGTTCATATTTGGTGTATTGAATTTTCATTTAAGTTTCATTCATATTTGTATCTGTATCTCAATTGTAATCTCGCGAACCTAATAATCGCGTTTACTTTTCGCATTTAAATTTCTGCATGATGTATGATTTAAATTTCTGTTGATGTATTGCAATATTTCTGTCACCTTACACATCCGAAGGAATTAGGTCTAGCTTTTGGTCGCCGCACCAATAGTCCTCAACTTCAAACCCTTACAAACCCTAATTTTCACAAATGTCTCGCCGCAGGCAAGATTACAATTTTACCCCTAGCATTAGGTCAAAGAGCCGCCGCGCTCATTTTAGGGTTTCCCGCCGTGGAATCCCTAACCTAATTTAACCCTAATTACAACTTAACATTTTAACGTAGAGATTTGGAGTTTCTACACTCCACGTAAGCGTGTCCTTAAGATGCGTTTATTCCCCTTGAGACCTTGACCACAGTCAAGAAGTTTCTAACCTCCCTTTTGAGGGGAACTACGATTACTCTGATTCCACTCCCGTAAGGATACGTAGGCACAAGACGCGATGTCTTGCCGAGTAAACTTAGAATTAACCCCTTAGGTTTATTTTCTCACTTTCAATCCTTTGTACATATACCTTAAGCAAATAAATAAAGCAAATAGTAAACATTTGAACAAAAGGTTCCCGTAGAGTACTACGGAAGTTTAGGGTGCTAACACCTTCCCTAAATTTAACCAACCCCCGAACCCTAGATCTTTCCCCGCATTGTGTTTACGATGCAAAATAGGTTTTCCCTCTTTTGACCTTTTCCTTCGGATAAATCAAAGAGCGGTTGTGAATTGAATTGCGATTCAAACTCATTAATAGTTTGTGATCCTATTTCCACCGCAACAGATAATATTGATAAATTTATTATTGGCTATAAACTATATATTAATATCAAAATTTGTATATAATATCTATATGAAAGTAATTTTTATTTATTTTTAAAAATGATTATATGAATGTTAATGAATATAACTAAAAAATAATGGATGTTTTTGGTTTAATAGCAGTCAATTTATTTTTGTTTTATTTGAGATAAAAAATATAAAAAAAGAAGTTACATTACACATTTTGTTTTAATAGGGGAATGGTGATCCGAGGAGAACTCAAAGACATTGAAAGTTACACTTTTGTAACTTTTCTTTTTCATACATTGAAGGATAGTGAAAGAGAGATCATAATCATAATAGAATTTTTTTTCTTATTGGAAAACATAATTGATCATTGTTAATCAAGATGGGTTTCTTTAGTACTATATTCGGATTTTTTGGATTTGGATTTGGAATTCTCATTGGTCTTGTTATTGGTTATTTTCTCTTCATCTTTGATCAACCCATTGATGTTAAGGTACACCTTATATGTGATTCTTAACACATTATCTTGTTCTTTATTGTTCTATTGATTATTCATAATTAGTTCTACATTTTTCACATGCTTTCAGGTTTATTTTGATCAAATCATAATCCTCCAAATTGTTTTTTCTTCTTTTTGTTTTGGTTGATATGTAACAAACAATGTTTTCTTTTTGTTTTGTTAATTATATCTCATATTAATAGGATCCTGAAATTAAGCCATTGGCGGAGGAAGAGACCGAAGCTTTGCAACGAATAATTCATGAGATTCCACTTTGGATAAAAAATCCAGACTCCGATCGAGTAAGTCTTAGTTGCGCACTTATTTTAATACACATAAAAAGTCGATCACTATTTAATTTAGCGACCAAATTATAGATTAGTTTTTTTGATTGATAAAGTACTAGTTGCTATCTGTTGGTGGATACATTAATTTTGTTTGTTTGATAAATAACTAGTCGTTACCTATTAGTGGAGAATAGTGTTTAGTATTTTTTTTAAGAGTTGTATTAATATTATATGTTTGTCCTCTGTAAAGGTTGATTGGTTAAACAAACTCATCGAGTATATGTGGCCATATCTTGATAAGGTATTTTTATTTTATTTTTAACCTTTTTAAATAGATTTATAAAAGCTTAATTCTCCTTCTATGTTTCTTTGAGTAAATATTTTATCTTTTTTTATTTAGGCAATATCCAATACTGCAAAAAATATTGCAAAACCCATAATTGCCGAGCAGATTCCAAAATATAAAATTGATTCTGTTGAGTTTGAAGTGCTCACATTGGGGTCTCTTCCACCAACTTTTCAAGGTTAATTTCTCTAAACATGATGCATTATTGGATAACAAACTTTAATACTACGAGTTTTAATATTTGATCTTAAATAATGTTGAACTTATTTAACATTAAAAAAAAAGTTTCATCTTTACTAAAAAGAAAAGTAACTTTATTTTCTATTATATTGTTCATATGGAAATTTTAACGGAAATGTTTTCATAGGAATGAAAGTTTACTTAACCGATGAGAAAGAGCTAATCATGGAGCCTTCCATAAAATGGGCTGGAAATCCTAACATTCTTATTGCAGTTAAGGCATTTGGGTTAAAAGCAACTATTCAGGTATTTCATTCATTAACTTTTTAGCGTGTGCGCGCATGTGTGTAATGACCAATTGCTTGAGAGTTTAAAATATTTTGTAGATGGTAGATTTGCAAGTATTTATTGCACCTCGAATTACTTTGAAGCCTCTGGTTCCATGTTTTCCTTGCTTTGGAAATATTTATGTGTCTATCATGGAAAAGGTTTGTAATTGTTACAATGTATATTCTTTATTCTTTATTCAATATTCGTCTTGATATTTGTTATCATGCAGCCGCATGTTGATTTTGGACTAAAGCTTGTAGGAGCCGATCTCATGTCTATTCCTGGATTGTACAGGTTTGTTCAGGTATATGAAAATGTTTGTTTTTAATTTGATTTTTTAAGAGACACAATATTATTATGCATGAACTTTTGTTACTTAGAAAACAAAAAGTGTTATTTATGGTTTTTAAGCTACTTAAAAATATGTTATTTCAGGAGTTTATCAAAGAGCAAGTTTCAAATATGTACTTATGGCCCAAAACTTTGGAAGTTCCAATTTTAGACCCAACAAAGTATGCATGATGGTTTTCACAAATGAATTTCGTTACATACTTTTTATTTGTTTTAACTTTTTTCTTCATGGAAATTTAGAGCCTTCAAAAGGCCTGTAGGAATTTTAAATATAAAGGTTATAAAAGCAATGAAGTTAAAGAAAAAAGATCTTCTCGGCGCATCTGATCCTTATGTGAAACTAAAGCTCACCGGAGATAACCTGCCATCGAAAAAGACCACCGTGAAGCATAAAAATTTGAACCCAGAATGGAATGAAGAATTTAGTTTAACCGTTAAAGATCCTGAAACTCAAACTTTAGATATTCATGTTTATGATTGGGAACAGGTACATCTCTATTTTTAATGCATTATATTCACACTATTATATGAAGTACCCTCTGAGTACTATAAGTTATGAATCAGGTTGGAAAGCATGACAAGATGGGTACTAATGTAATCCAATTAAAAGAACTGAATGTGGAAGAGCCTAAAGTTTTCACTCTTGAACTTTTGAAAAATATGGATCCAAATGATCCCCAAAATGATAAGTCTCGGGGACAGATTGTTGTGGAAGTAACATATAAACCTTTCAAAGAGGAAGACTTAAATAAAAGTTTTAATAGAATAGAATCAATTACAAAAGCACCTGAAGGAACTCCTATAGGTGGAGGTCTTCTTGTAGTTATAGTCCATGAAGGTCAAGATCTTGAAGGAAAATACCATACAAATCCACATGTAAGACTTATTTTCAAAGGAGAGGAGAGAAAGACTAAGGTACTTTATCCCATGTATAATCTTTATTTAGAAAATATTTCTTTTATATTGTATGATAATAATGTTGTATTTATTACTGTATTACAGAGCATAAAAAAAAATAGAGATCCAAGATGGGAAGATGAGTTTCAATTTATGGTCGAGCAACCTCCCATTAATGACAAATTACACGTGGAAGTTTTCAGCACTTCGTCGCGAAGTTTATTGCGTCAAAAGGTACATAATTTATATAATAACTTCTTAATTTCGGAAACTATCGACCTAATTTTCGTGCTTTTAAGAGGCCTCCATTCAATCAAGATTGGAGGTTATGCTCTATAGTTTTAAAATTTGAATTCACTATAGTCACTAAATTCATGTGTTCATCCATTCAAGTCATTAATGATAGTTCGACCGAGATTGGTCTTTTTAAATATATATTTTATTAAACCATATGACCGAACAGTCACTAATAACTCGAATGTATGAATGCGTAAGTTTAATAATTATAATGGTCGATTTTTTATTTATTTACATGATACTTTGACATGACTAAATTTTTTATCTTGGCATTCTCTCGAAACTAGGAGTCTTTGGGTTACGTTGACATCTCTCTTGCTGACGTTGTTTCTAACAAGAGAATCAATGAGAAGTATCATCTTATAGACTCTAAGAATGGTCGCATTCAAATAGAGATACAATGGTTAGCCTCAAAAGCTACTTGATAAAATTTTCTGTAGTTTTATTTATCTATTTCATATTCTAAAATTAAATCTTGGGTGTAATATATAAAAGGATAATAATGAGATTTATTGTTCATGTAGATTAGTTAATCTAATTTATAATTTTTTTTTAGAAATGAGAAATTATGACTGATTAAAGTGACAATAATCATTATTTAGAAGTGTTCCACTAAATAATTAGTTTGTTTCAAAAATATAAACTTTTGTAAAAATTCAAATGTTGGTTGTAGAATAGAATGCTACTCATGATTTATTAAATATGCGCTTATAATAATATATTATTTAGTGTGAGCTTATATCTTGTAAGAAGGTTTCGATTTAATCGTCTGTTTGGTACTATTGATTAAGACGGTTTCGAATTAAACGGATTGTCAGATTTACAGGTGGGTTATTGGGTTTTTGCAAGTTTGGAAAGGAGGTGAAAAATCATACAAAATTTCAACAAAATCAACTTTTCTATTACAACTTATCCATAACATATATGTAACATTATTTCTTCTCCATTTTTCATCTTTTTAGAAAAGAGAACAACAAATGAAAAGTATTTGTTGTATTTATTTTTCTTTGTTGAAGCAAAGATTTAATAAATAGTATTAGTGGAAAAGATGAACTCACATGTAATGAGTCATGATTCAGTTATTCACAAGTTTTTGGTTGTTGCTACATTGAGTTAGGTGGAGGTTTTGGAATATTATTGTTAATTGATCTGTTTTAATGTGAGTGAGAGGGGAGAAAGTGATAGATGATAGATGAAAGGAGAAATATATTTTGAATAATGTTGCGGTGAAAATCGGATATCAAGCTATTGAATTAACTTGAATCTTAATTCTTTTACAACCGGACTTTAATTTATCCAAAGGAAAGGTCTAAAGAAAGAAAGAACCTTTTGCGCGATGTTACAACAACGCTAAGAGATTCGGGGATCGGGGGTTGGTTATGCATAGGGTAGGTATTTCACATCCTAAACATCTGTAGTACTCTACAGGAACCTTTTGTTTATTTGTATGCTAAGTTTGTTAAATATTTGCTAAGGTTTGGGTATTGGGTAAAAAGGTGAAGGTTATGATAGATGAAGACCTAAGATTGTTTCTAAGTTTACTCGCAAAGACATCGCGTCCTCTGCCTACGTATCCTAACTAGGATAGAATCAGAGCAATCGTAGTTCACCTCACTAGGGTTGAAGAACGCTTGATTGCGATCAAGGTTCAAAGGGGAACAAACATAATAATGTTTGTGTAGAGTTTCACAAAAATCTCTATGTCTATTTTGTAACACTCAAAGGGGGAAGTAAGTGATCATATCCATGATCCTTACATAGAGTTAACAACTCTATCCTAGGGTTCTAGTTGTAAACACTCCTAGTGAGGGGGAAGGTTGCTCGTCAAGATATCGCATCTTGTGCCTACGTATTCTCATTGTCCAATGAGAAATCAGAGCGGTCGTAGTTCGGGCTCGAACTAAGGAATCAATTGGTTCTTTCCAGACCAAAAGAGGGGAAGGTTCTATCCAGACCTATGAGTTTATATCCTATTGGTTCTATCCAGACCAAAAAGGGGGTTAAGGCTCTTTCGAGGCCAATGAGGGTATTGAGCTATCTATGACCCAAGGGTCAATAGAGAGACTTTCCTTTGGAAGGGAGGAGATGAGGCAACTTGGATGAGAACTAAAAACGTTCCATCACTTGGGGAAGAAATAATTAACAAAGTAATCAATACTTTAAACAAAAGGGGCATGATTACAACCAAAGATCATGTATCTTAACAAAGATGAAAGCATATATTAACAAAGATTAAAGGTATATCTTAACAAAGATTGAAGGTAACAACCACATGTATCGATGACAATCAAATACAAGCAAATTAGTTTAACCTCATAATTTAGGAGGAAAGCAATATGAAATAATGGTAACAACCAAGGGAGAGTACCCTAACATGTTAACTAACATAGTATAAATGAATATTATAACACAAATGATCACGGTGAAAAAGAAATTCATCTGCATACGCGAGATAACGATCTCAATATAAAGGCAACTTACAAGCAACCAAAAGGCATGAAAATATGAACAAACATGGAATTAAAAAATATCACATGAAAGTAGGCATCAAGACAAACACAATGCAAAAAGAATGGGTTCAAAATGATGAAAAATGGATGAGTTATGATTTTTTGAAGTTTGGATGAACAAAACATGAAAATCTAAATGATAAAAGGAATAAAATGCACATGGTAAGACAATGAATCAAACAAATTTGATTATTTAAACATGTTAACAAAATTTTAAGAATAATACAAGATCAATCTCACAAGAAAAATCAAGTTACAAGTTGAAAATTTTCAAGATCATCATGGTAAAAAAACAGTCATGGTAACATGTGGAATGCAAGTGGAAAGTTCACATTTATGAGTTTTAGGTTTACCTCTTGAAGCAAACTTAAGCAATAAGAAAACCAGAGATCTTGAGAGCTCTTCCAAGATCTTGTTACATAAGTGTGGAAGTGACTTGGATAGCTTCAATACATCATACTTTATGTGTTTGAAGTGTTTCTTGAGTTGGAAGAAGTTTGGAAATGGTTTTGAAAGGTGTTTTTCAAAAGCAAATTTTGAGGGATTTTGGAAACTTAATGAGATTTTGTAAGAACTTGTGATTGTGTAAGAAAGAAAGTTCTAGCTGGTTTCTAGCATGGAACTTGTGTGTTTGTGATGTAGGAAGTAAGTTCTATTTATAGCCAAAGGCCTTGGATTAAGGTATGGGCAAAAGTGAAGCAAATTGCCAATTTTAACCTTCCATCATGAAAATCTTTGAGTTTTCCAATGCAATCTTCATCTTTGTCTTTAAGACACTCTAATAAGATATTCTCCATGCCCCATAGATTTTTTTCATCATGCTTGATAGGATAGAAGGTGACTTGTTGAATTAAAGTTGATGATTTGACAAGGGTAGCCACCTTTTTTCTCTTTCTTCACTATTCACTTTTACAACTTGCATTAAATAATGATTTCCTTTGATCTTTGGTCCATTTTCGTGGGAATTGATGTTAAACATGTTTATTAACAATGTAAACATCATAAATGAGGCTTAGTCTTTGATTAGCATCAATTTGGAGAGGTTTTGGAATAAAAAAAACTCATGTTGACCTGGTTTTGCCAATGTGAGTTTTTGCCAACTTGTGGACCTCAGTTCTCTCTAACCAGGAAGAGTTATGGAACCCACTTGTACTTTTTAGAAAGCCCCAATTAGGTACTAAAATATTTATGCTTGTGTTAGGAACTCATTCCCCTTGAAACTAGGTCAAAAACCCTTGTGTGGTTAAGGAGTTATGGCTTTGCCCTTTTCAAAACCTTAATTTCCCAACTTTTGCGATTACTCCCTAACCCTTGATCCAATGGTCATGAAACTTCATGGGTAGGTGTAATATGTCATTAGGACCATTTTTTATTCCCATCTTTAGGTCAAATTCCTCATGAGTGAAGAGTTGACTTTTCGGTCAACCGAACGATCGATCGGTGGCTACCGAGTCGACTGTTGATGTTCCGGGTATTTTGAGGACTTGAAACTCTTTGGATGGACTTTACTAAGCCATAGGAACTTAATGGACCTTGATCCCACCATTGAAACACTTTTTAAACCAAAATTCAAACTACAATTGACTTTTCCTGATCGAAAACCCTAATCGGGCGTCTTGAACTGCACTGTTCTCAATTCTTGGGTGACCACCTCAAATTGAATTCATACTAGATCCAATGGAGTATATTTGATCTTGTGGAGACTTATTTGAAGTTGAATCAATCCAAAACATTGATTGGTCAGACCATTGAAATCCCGATTTTGACGGTACGGAACCCTAATTCATCTGCATCTTAACAAAGATAAACTAGAAATGGGTTAAGGTTAGTTAATCAACTGAATATGATCCTAAAATGATGATGAGGATCTAAGGGGTCAAAATTTGGGGTGCAACAGGTTCCCCTATTTAAATATCTTCACTAGATGGTGATGAGAGATGACAATCCTCATAGAATCGCAGTGAAAGTTATTTAAATATAGTAAACCAGAAATTTTGTCCCTTAGATCCGATGGTATGCAAAAAGGATGAACGCAAATATGCCATGAATCTAAATGATGCTATATGATGCTTGAATGCAAGACAGATGCAGACACACGAGCAAATATAAAAGAACGGCGAAACGACGAGTAACCACTCACGAGGACCCAACACACTGGGGAAAGATTCCGAGCGAAGTAAGCAAGATAGTTCAGACATGACTAATGATGTTTGTTCAAGGGAATCTTTCATGCAGGGGATACAAATTCCACCAGGGAAGACACATCTTTATTGGGGAGAGGAGATACGAACCTCACTGGGGATAACCAGATGAGGAAGTCCACCGGGGAAGATCACATTTCTTCACTGGGGATACGAAAGAAAAGAAGCGCAAAATTCACTGGGGAAGGAACCCACTGGGGAAAACTTGCTGGGGAACAAAATCCACTGGGGAAGCGAAGCTTCACCGGGGAAAAGACGGAACAAAGACACGAATCTCACTGGGGATAACCAGATGAGAAAATTCCTATAACGAAGAGTTCAAACGAGATCTTCAGGGAAAGGTTAGAAACAAGACCGGACGCGTCGGGGAAACTAGTATCCACTAGTTCTCCGTGACTCGACTGGAAAATCAAAAGCTTCAACTGGGGAGACTGGTGATGACCAGAACAACAAACAACTTCAAACAGTGCTAGTTTCCACTAGACTTACTGGGGATGATGGTGACGACCGAATCAACAATGGTTTCCAAGAAGTGCTAAATACCACTTAAACTTCCTGGGGATATGGTGACGACCAAATCAAAGTTCTAATTACAATTGGGCATTTCCAAACAATATTGGTAAAACACAGGACTTCGGTTGGGGAAGTTGGTAACAATCAACTTTCGGTACTAATAACGATTAGTTTTCAAACAATGCTAGTAACCACTGGATT